AAAATACAATGTGAGAAAAGAGCATATAGATTTTTATCTTTAGGGCCATATCATCTAGAGAAGATATACCATGCACAGAGAGCCAATCAACTAAAATACTATTWCAAAGTTTAATTTTGTTCCATTTCCTCCATGGAATATATGTCCTAATCCTGAAGATGAATGGYGGGGGTGGGGAACATTGAAAGTACTCTTGTAATTCTCCAAAACTGTTATATTATAGATACACATTTAAGGGAGCAAGTCACTCACTGTCYCATTGAAAGACCAGTTCTCCAATGTTGAAATGGTTATTTCAAAAAGAGTATGAAGGAGAAAACATGAAGCATTAACAGGAACTCCAGCCCTACAACATTCCTATATAATTTGGTTTCCTCTGGGTGCTGCACACTGAAGACTCTCCAATTAATAGAGTCCTTTTTCTGAAGATTAATGAATGCCAATTATTCACTTCAGTCTGCCCCATCTCTACCCACCCTCATCACCTTCTGCTAAMCCAAATCAAAATGTCTTCATTGTATTAAGAGTGGGAGTCAGACTTTTTAAGACAAAAAGTTGAATCTGATAACACAAAAACTATTCCCCCTTTATTCTAGGGGAAAAGGACTCTGAGGGAAAAAAAAAACATTTTTCTATTCATAGCCTTTTGTCTCTTCTGATTCTGTCAGATGACATCTTCTGGAAAGAAACGGATAGTGATGCCTTTCTTAAAACTGCTAAGTAGTCTCTCCAAATGCAAGATAAGCCTTCTGTTACACTAATTTGCACTCTCTAGTAGGAAAAGAACATCTTTTAACTATTAGGGATGGAGAAGTAAACATCAGCTTTTTTWAAAAATGAGATATTAACTTGTTCTAACTCTGAAGCCTGACTCAAGAATGTCACTTTCTATGAAACCTTTTTCCACTTGGACCATCTCCTGCCATACTTCTTCAGCTTTACAGTGCTGTCACTGAAAAGTACAGCACTCATCTGAGGACAGAGGTTTCTCYGATTTCTGCTTGTATTGTTCTTTGATTTGAGTCAAAGTAATATCTGTGGACCAGGTTCATCAACTATAAAAGATTATTCTTAGCCAGGCATGGTGGCACACTCCTGTAATCCCAGAGGCTCCAGAAGCTGAGGCAGGAGGATCAAAAGTTCAMATCCAGCCTCAGCAACTCCCTGTCTCTAAATAAAATATAAAATGGGCTGGGGATGTGGCTTAGTGGTTAAGTGCCCCAGGATTCAATACCTGGTACCAAAAAAAAATTATTTTTAGTGTAATACTTATATTTCATTTAAGTTATTAATTTACCCAAACAGCAGCCATAGTAAAATAAGATCATTAAAATGACACAGTTTTAAATGACACAGTTGGAGAATGAGGTATTCCATAAGTGAATTTTCCACAGAACCAAAATTTACCCTTGTATTATATGAAGTTTTTAAGTGTTAAATTAACCATAAAATGAGCGGTAGAATCAGAGTTAAGCCAAAGCTGAAAAAGAACCACCACCAAATCATTAGTTTCCCACACACTTTAATGACTCTCAGAAGTTATCTCCCCTAAGGGTAGAATCCCACTAACAACTGCCTCACTTTGACTTGGCTCCTTCAAATGGGTCCAGCATAAGATGGCATGACCAGAGCCTTGCGGCTGTACCCCCAGGATTATAAAAAGAAAGATTTCATCCATTCTGGAATCTCCTTCTCTGTTAGAAAAACACATCCAATCTAAATGAAAGGTCAGGGGTGAGTAGACTGTGCTTCAAGTAAGTTTTGAATACAATTGCCATCTAGATTTTGCAGTCTACAAAATTCTTCTTTAAGTGAATAAATGTGTAGGGCAACTCTCCATTTACCTTGATCAGCATCTAACACCAACCTGACACTTAGAATTAAATTAGAGAAACAAAACTGGATACTTTGAGACTTGAGGGCTGATTATACTACTAGCTAAGAGTGGATTTAAACTCTTCTCTTATCCCACTTAAATCTAACTAGGTATAAACCCTCCATTACTGAGGAATAGAGGTGTGTCTGCAGAAGTGGAGGTTCCCCTTGATGTTCTTGRACAAGGAAACCTAATCCTTTTTTTTTTCTGACACACATGGTTGCAATAGAAACCGTTCCTCAGTTGCTAGTCTGGTTTTAATCTGTTGCTTCTAGTGAGGGAGGATTTGCAGAGAATGTTAAGAAGAGAACAAAATTACCAGAACTTACTGTAAGTGTTGATGAGAAATCAAATTTTAAACAAGTGTTCAAAAGTATAAAGGTATGTAGACACATGTAATGTATGCTATAAGTATAGGACTGTACCATTTTGTAATCTTAGGTRTATTTAAAGATTGCTTTTAATACATTTATATTTCATTTTACTGAAGTTATTCAGTTTACTCAAGTGACAGCTGTGATAAAATATAATCATAAAACACAATAATGCATCATTTATACAACACTATCGGAATATGAGGTATTCCATAAGTGAATTTTCCAYGGAACTGAATTTACCCCTGTTATTATATAAACTTTTAAAATGTTAACCATTTTGTATGGAAACATTCCCAAAGTGTATTATAGAATTTTTCTTTAAAGGTAAACTAAAACATAACCTTTCTTTGAAGATTCATGGTTACCATTATTTTAATTTTATTTTATTTGAAGTACTGAGGGTCAAATTCAGGGCTTTGTGAGTGCTAGCAAAGTGCTGTACTACTGAGCTAATCTCCAGACCTTTTTATTTATTTATTTTTTTAAATTTTGAGACAGGGTCTCACTAGGTTGCCTAAACTGGCCWGCAACTTGTGATCTTCCTGCCTCATCCTCCCAAGTAACGTGCTACCACACCCAGTTCATGGTTATCTTTATTAGAAATGTTTAAGTAGGCTAAATACATGTATATGGCTCTTCTTAATAGATGGTTAACAATGGTGACTTTTGTTCACTCTTTCCCTAAAATGAAAATGCTACTGTGGAAAACTACAAACAGAACTGGTTCACTTTTGATAGGTCCCCTGTTTTTTCCTGCTGTCAACTGTTTCTTCTAGCTATTAAATGTACATCAATCTTACATAATAAGCTGTGTAATTTGTTAAAATCAAATTTAGATTTAAAAGATGTGCCTACTCTATGGAAGGTGCTGGGGAGGGGAAGAAATATAAAATTCKTAAACAATTATAAAAACTGTATGGTCCATCCCTAAGACACAACCCAGCTGACTTGACATTCAAGACACTAGGTCATCACCATAGTGTGAAATGCCATTTTTTTTGTTTGTTTCTAATAATGTCTTAAATYTTGCAAAATTACTAATTTTTAAAGATCAGTATATTGAGATAATCAGATTTGTGTTCTGATAAACATTCTTTAGTGGGCCTAAGTCTTGGAAATATCTCCTATGAAAATATTAYCATGTTGAGTCTCAGTAGGTAATATTAAGAACTGCTTGAGGATATTTGACWGCTTTTGATTTGACATTTGACAGCTTTTGGTGAACTACAATCTCACTTCAAGTTTTTATCTTGCAATCTGAATGGTTGAGTATGTCAGAAATCTAGTTTTGCTAATTCCTAAGGTCATATAATCTAATAACTATTAAAATCGGGACTGTAATGTTTGCTCTATATATGAATAYCAAACATTCAAGGACTAAGCTACATTTGACAAAGCTACATTTTACAATGGATATTCTATATCCTTCCTCCTGGCAAGGTCTCTATTTTGGCCTTCAGTAATGCCACATTCTTTTAAGTTCTCCAGTATTTCTTGACTACTTAATTTCCATCACCTGACAACTTCTATACCTCAAACTCTATCTGGTGGCTTCAAATACCATGTTTTGTAGTTCAAACTTCTCTCTCAAATTCCAGACTCATGGTATCTATTTAAAGGGCATCACGTTTGAAAACAGAAGAATCTCAAATTCAACAAACAAAAAAACTGATCTGTTTTGTTGATTTTATTGTATGGCTTATCAAGTATTGTCTTGCCCTGCTAGATTTCAGCTCCTTAATACTATAGGCATTTCTTATATAATTTATTTCCYGCATCTCCCCTTGGGAATCTCCAATATTTTATTGGATCAATTTATGAACAACAAAAAAAAGGAATTCTGAAGAATCTCTTCCGATTATATTTTTACTGATTCTTACTGTAGACTTTTAGGTGCACTAACAGAAGCAGGACTGTATAAATGCTTCTTATAATTTAACCCCAATCTTTCACCAGGTATCACCTTCTTCCTGAAGGAACCTCTGGACTAGGATGGAGCACCACAGTCCTAATGACCCGTCCTGCTCAAACCTTGTATTTGCTTCTATAATACTTCATCAGTGTACATGGTTTATTTGTTACCCATTAGGTTGTACATTTCTTTTTTTAATATTTATTTTTATTTTTTTTAGTTTTTGGCAGATACAACATCTTTGTATGTGGTGCCGAGGATCGAACCCGGGCCTCACTCATGCCAGGCAAGTGCGCTACCGCTTGAGCCACATCCCCAGCCCAGGTTGTACATTTCTTGATGGCAAAACACATACATGTGTTTTTTTATACCTTCACTAAGCAAAGCTTGCAGACCCAATGAGTTAATGGGCCACATAGGTCTCAAAAAGCCATTAAATTGTTCTATTAAAAAAAAAAAAAAAAAGAAAGAAAAAGAAACACTAGGAGGCTTAATTTCTATGGCAACATTTAGAAAGTTGCCCCTGGATGGCCAAGATTAAAAAAGCAATCTACCTTTCTTCCCAGTATACAGTGCTACTACTTATATAATCAGACTATGATTTATATCCTTTAAGTTTCTCCCTCAAGGAAGTCTACATAAAAATGAGGAATCCGGGGAAAAGTCCAGCCCCGTCGCACCGTGTCCCAAGCCCCCAAATAGTCCAACAGGCACCGTTCCTACAAGCGGCTAGAACCAACCCCAGGACATGCGCATGCGCAGCAAGCCAAAGCAGCTGTAGGCTGAGACTGCTCTCTGAGCAGACGTAATCCTGGACAACACGGCTCCGCCCTTCTCAAGATGGCGCTGCTCTCAATGCGGAAGGCGCGTGGGTGCTGGAGYTTCATCCGGGCATTTCATAAAGAACCTGAACCGGCTCCCGCTCCACAGGTAACCAAAGTCGATCCTTCTCTCACCAGCTTCCCATCCTGCGAGCTCCCTCTTATCCTCCTTCCTCTCCCTGTACTTATTTCTCTCTTCCCGCTGTCTCGGGAGAGTACTCGGCTGTTTCTCTTCTAAAACCYACTCGCCTATCACTGCCCGCCTACTTGGAGCGTGGAAACGTTGCAAAGATACGTGATGACGCAAGGTTGCCGAGCAAAGGAGCGCGCAGCCGCCTGACCATGTGACCTCATCTTGAAWGCCGCGACCCTTGCGCGGCGGCTGTTACTAGGCAACGCGGGAAGCCAGTTCTTAGTGTGACGTTGTTAGGGAATACACCTGGTCATTCTAAGATTTCTCTCTTGCTCATGGTTCCATGCTTTTACCTTTCTTTTCCCATCTGCAAGGCAGGAGCCATGGGAGAACTTAGAGAAGGCGTCTTGTTAGAACTGGGTGGTTTACATGGGTGCAGCCGCTTGTCCTTCTCTGGCAGTGTGGTATTTTTAAGAAACAGTGATCTTGCATTGTCATTCCTTCTTGGTGATCCTTAGGTCAGGCTTTGTGAAAGAATAACCGGAAGTTGCCACAATGAGTCGTCTTATCCTTCGCCTGACTGCACTACTATTACTATCATTCTAGTTAAGAGCAGGGCACGAATTTTCTCCTGAGAAAAACAGAGTTGGGGTTACCGTTTCATTCATTCAGACATTATTAAATGTCTTCTAAATGCAGGCTCAGTAGTAAACACTTTGACAATACGCTATCTATGGAGATATATTCTGAAATCTAGAGGGGAACATGGAATTCTGTGATTATTAGGTAATTTCCTGACACCTTGCATATCCATTGTCATTAATGTGTAGGTGTGCCGTGAGGGTGTCACAGTGTAACCAGTGTGTTGGAAAGAGCACTAGATCAGAAGTTAGGAAACAACGGCTGAGGTCTCATCTGCCACATGCTAGCTGTGTGCATGACAAGTCACAATCCCCTGGGCTTATTTTCTTTAACAGATCAAGTGGAATAAGAGTTGGACTGATTGACATGTTAACGTACTTTGGAGCTTTGGAAAATCTATGACTACATGAAAAAGTCAAAACAAAGCCAGTGAGAGTAAATGAAAACAAAGATTTAAGTTCAATTTATTTTTCTAATCATCCCATAAATTGCTTAATTTACCAAACTTCTCATTTCTTCATTGATTTTGAACCTTAGAATTCTTGTAAGGATAAAGAACATAATATACTGAAAGCTCTTTGTCAGCAAACAACTCTTCAGATGTTATTTTAAATTTTAGGAAGCAATGTTAGGTAAGAATTGATTCTAATTTACTTCATCAAATACTCTCTTTGAAGTTTGGGAGTTCGATTGTTCAGAACCAGAACTAATTGACAATTTATAGATAATGGCATATTAAAATGACTAAACCTTAGACACCAACTTTCCTTCATTCCAAACTAAGAATTAATTGTGCCTTAAGAGTACAGAATCAAAGAAAGAAGAAAAACAAATTAGAGCCCACTAATGATTGCCCAAGGAAAATTAGGACACTAAATCATTATAAATGCTAATGAAAAAAAATCAGACCTCTACTATTGTTTCAGTAGCATTTATGAATAGGGTTATTCTTAAAGTAAATCTACTGTTAATCTAGATTGTTTCAAGATGTAGAATTTCAAGAACAATATTAGTGTTTCCAAATTTGTAATTTAGCTTTGAGTATGAATGAAATGTATTTTTTCTTAAGTGTATAACTATATACCATTTCAGTTATTTACAATGATGGTTTGAGAGATTAATGCAGTCTTTTGAAAAACTAATTGAAAAAAGATAACAATAGTATTCATAATATGATTACAATATTATGTTTACATATAAATACTTATTTAAATATATACACTGATAAAAAAGTTGGAAGGAAACACCATTTTTAACTTTTTTGTTGTGTTTTGATCTTCCTAAATAGTGGATTAAAAGTAATTTCAGTTTTCTTTAAGCATTATTTTTCACATGTTCTATATTGAATATATATCACTTTTATAACCAGAAAAATTGAAATCATAAATCTCCTTGCAAACCTGTAGTCATTAATACTGTTTGTGATATTTTAAGTTTCTAAGAGAGATACTTGTGCTATGGTGCTGTTATTAAAATGGCCTCAGAAAGGACTACTAAAAATTTATGGCCACTTTTCCTATGTGTATCTTCTTTTTCTCTCAAAAAGCCTTCTTTGAAGTCAAAGGGATTTTGTGAACAGATGCAGAAATATGTGAAGGAAGAATTGGATTCTTAAGCCAGATGCATTAGACATTTTTATGATACCTCATAACCTTTGTAAAAAAACAAAAAAATATTTTTCAAGTGTACATTACAATAGAAAGAAATGTATATTTATCATATGGGTGATTTTATCAGTAACCAAGAGATAGATAAGTTACTTGTTATTGGGTTTGGGCTGTGTACCTACCCCCTGAGGTAGAAAGCAAAAGTGGATGAATGATAGTGGTGCTCTATTAGAAGCTACCACTGATAGAGTATTGTGATTCTTAAGTTGTTTTAATGTTTTGGAGGATGTTTATTTTTTATTTATTTTGTGGGTATGGGGGACATAACCCAGGGGCACTTTACCATTGAACAACATCTCCCAGCCCTATTTAGTTTTTATTTTGAGAAAGGGTCTCACTAAATTGCTTAGGGCCTTGCTAAGTTGCTGAAGCTGGCCTTGGACTTGTTATTCTCCTATCTCAGCCTCCCAATTGTCTTTTGTATAAAAAAAAAAAAAAAACTTGGCATTGGGGATCTTTATGTTAAATGTAGTATTTTGTTCAGGTTAGGGAGAGAAGGGTTGGGATGTATCTCAGTGGTAGAGCAATACAAAAAGCCCTGAGTTTCATCTCCTGTACTGAAAAAAAGAAAAGGTGTGTGTGTGTGTGGGGGGGTGTCCAGGAATAACAGTGTATCACACCATACTCATTGTGGAATATCTGCAATTTATATGAAAATGGTTTATTTTGCCAGGTGTTGCTTGACAGAAAACTGTTGAAATCTGACAAGATGAGAGTAGTCACAGAGTCAGAGGAATGAAAACCTGACATGTTTTATTTAAATGCTAGTGGCATTAGGTAAATTTAAGCCTGTCATCGTTGAGCAAACACAAGATACATAATTCTTTAAGCATTAATTCATGATTGTATTGTGCAAAGAGTGAAATATTGTTGGTTAGTGAATTTTTGCAAGAATATTTATAATCATTCAGCTGAAGTATAAAATGTCCACATTGTAGTACAGTTGAACAACATGCTTCAATATTAGCCATCATTAGCCTAGGTTTGGTCAATAGTAACATACTATTTCTGCAATTAATGATCTGTAAGTATAGCCATTACATGAAGAAATCATGTCTAAAAATGGCATTATATTAAATATCTGGTCTTGTGTTTAATTTTCACTACAAGTCTTCTTAAATTTTTTTATTTTAACATAATTTCAGACTTATAAAGTTGCAAAATTAGCTCAGAAAATTCCTGCACACCCTTCACCAAGTTTTGTCTTGCATAATCATAATTTAATTAGCAAAACCAAAAAAATTAACATTGGTACAGTACTATTAATTCAGCTATAGATCTAATTTACATTTCACTGGTTTTTCCACTAGTCATTTTCCTGGTCCAGGATCAAATCCAGGATCCTATATTGCATTTAGTTGCCATGTCTTCTCCACTCTGTGACACTTCTTCAGTCTTTCATCACTTTTGAAGACTGTTGGCTAATTGTTTCATAGAATGTCTCTCAGTGGATTTTTCCATTGATTCCTCATGATTACATTGAGCTTATGGATTTTGGCAAGAATACACAAAAGAGATGTTGTTCATAAAAAGGCTTTACAGTAGGTATTAAACATGAGGAAACAGCCTTTGGTTAATTAACTCATTCAGTGTAACACAGTTAATGAGTGATGAATTGGGATGGTAAATTTTACTTTGGGGATTTAGTTCTATATTTTGCAATTACTGTTTATTGTAGGTTTCTGTGATCCTACGGACATTTAATTGTGGTTGTGTTCTCAGTGATATTTCCCTTAGCTCTTTTCTGTCCAGGCAACACACAACATGAGCTAACCAGAAGGGAAACCTTTCAAGAGCTGCCGTAGCCATCCGAGAGTTGTGCTAGTTGAAAACTGCCAGTTTGATCAGGCTTATTTCATCTTTGTGTTTTTCTTAAATTTGTGTTGTATGAATCTACTCTCCTTTTAATCTCAGTCAGTGAATCCATTTGTATAAAATGCTCTTTTGATTGGTTGTTCATGTAAACTTAGTTTATGTAAGTACTTGTATTTCAGTTTTTTGAAAAATATCTCTGAGCAACAAATTGAAACTKATGGTGACTGCTGAAAATATAGAGGAGCAGTAGATAAATGCTGAGGATTTATGCTAGCATCTCTGATGGCATCCACAGCCAGGAAGTGCTGGAGAAAGTGGTGCTGCTGACCCCAACTCTTTCTCAGTATGTCTTTTGCATAACTGCAGGTTACAGAAGAATTGTCTGTGGATGCTGAGACAAATACATGTGTGAATCATGTGTGCGCATACACACACACACACACACACACACAGACACACACTTACTGTGTGCACCTACCTGCTGAGGTGCAAAGCAAAAGTGGATGAATCACAGTGGTGCTCTGTTAGAAACTGCCACTGATTGAGTATTCTTAAGTTGCTTTAATGTTTTGGAGAATTTTAAAAAACAATTCTCTTGCATAAAAAACTTATTTCTCTATATCTTTCAGAAAAGGAACACTTAGCTAGTACCTTTTATATGCCAAAGCCTCATGACATGTGCTATGCATGATTTATCTTCTTCTTTCAATGATCTTATAAATAGTATTTTACAAAAAAAAAAGGGGGGGGGAAGCTAAAAGAGATTAGGGAACTTTTTCAAGGCACAGAGCTAGTAAAGAGCAGTGCCAGGATCCCAACCCAGTTTGCCTATCTTTTTCCCACTTGATCAGT